GGCGGCGCCAGCTCCAAAAAAGAGAGGGGGGGGTTTCAGGGGCGTGCAAGAAGTTTTTAAAAATCGTGTCTTGCTGTTCTATGTGTACATGGCGTCCCGAAGGCACGCATGCAATGGCCAGAGGCCGTTGCCTAAAACAGCTGGGGTCTGGGGACGCTGTAAGAAGCCCCTCAACGGGTCCAGGGCAACGCCTTGGTAGGGGTCCAGGGGGCGAAGCTCCCGGAAGCTTCCGGGATTTTCTCATTTCTGAGGTCTCAAAGTGGCTTAGAATCCTTTGATTTCTCTTTCTGCATACATTATTAGAGCAACACAACCTGTAGACTTTAATTTTAACTTTTTTATTGGGAAGTGCCAAACAAAAAGGTATCATTAATCTAAAACGAGAATTTAAAACAATGAATAACAATGTCAAACAATCTTATAATAAACAACGTTCGTAGTTTTTTTCAACAAATATTACTCCTCCCCAACATTTTCTCGCCGAGCTTAGACCAGATACAAAATTGATCCTGCCGAGAACTGGGGGCGTGCAGTGGCGGCGCCAGGGGGGAATGGGGGACGTAGGCCTACCCCCAACTTTTTCAGAAAGATGGTCTCTGAGATTCATGCAAATCCGATGAGAAAATGGGGGGGGGTAGGCCTACGTTCTGTGAATTGTGTCGCAAGATTATTTCAATGTAAAACACAAAATTTGTTATTAAATTACATCCTTAAGATTTATTTATCTTACAACAGGAAAACATGAATGGGTCAGATTATAATAATTTAATCCTTTGCAAGAGAATATCAATAGTTGTTTCCGTATATTTACGAAGTTCACTTCATCAACATTTTTAACGTCTTAAAAAGAATAGTAATTATCTTCCGGCTCTCTGCGAGAAAAAATGATGAATTTGTTGCTGCATATCTTGACTTTCACTCATTCATCTGAAAGACAACGAAATGTCGTGTGCTTCTGTACGTGATCCGTCTTCTAAAAACGTTCTGAACATCGACAATGTCCTTGCAATGGGACAAATTAAGCCGGTTATCGATTTCCCAAAATCAGTTATTTCTGGGAAAGACTTTCGATTTCAGAAGAGATGGTATGAGCAGTATGACTGGTTAGAGTATTCAATTGACAAAGATGCAATCTTTTGCTTTTACTGTCGCATCTTTGGGTCACAGGGTAAGTGTTTTTACGTATTATTTATGGTTATTGGTTATTCCATCGTTATTCTTAGGCTAGCTGTCATATTTTAGTATATAAAACGTTTTCCCCATCTTCTACGGGCACAGTCGGGCGCAGTCCTACATTTAAAAAACCATTAGAGAGGCATCTTTAGCCCTGTGAGAAATATTAAAAACTTCCTAATAAAAATGCCCACGTGGGGAAATGGCTACCCAAATAACCTTTGTATGAAAATGTGTATTTCATACCACATTTGAAGCTTCACATAAGATAGTGGCAAGAATGTAGCACGTAACTCATGAAATATTCAAGAAAGTCCTAAATTTTTTAGTTCTAAGAAAGTTTTCAAAATCAATTCCTGAAAAACGGCCGCAATCATGAAGGACTTTTGTATTCTTATTTTATTTTGCCTAGTCGTAGTCCATCTATTCATTAATTTGATGATTTGAAACAAAAAACAACTATAAGAAAGTTCTCACGATAAAGTTTCTTAGAAGTGAGATAGATGCTGGAAAACAGAGTTACTGTAGGACAAAAGCGAGCGTATATAATAATGAAAGTATACGAGATTTTAAAAATGACATCGACGTAAATTTCCTTCAAATTTTGAAATAAAAAATGCTAAAAAATGTTTGTTTCAGTTGGTTGTTCTGAGAAAATCTTCACAGAAGATGGTTTCCGTAACTGGAAAAAGGCAACTGGAGCAACAGGCCGCTTGGAGAAACATTTGAAGTCGAGAGCACATCAGCTGAGTCGAGAAAAAGCTATTTTGAAGGCTGAGAAAGCTAGAGGCTGAGAAAAAGGAAAATCAGAAGGTGGTGGAAGTTATTATTGATGTTATCCGTCATATCAGTCTTCAAAACGAGGCTTTTAGGGGTCATGATGAGAAACCAACATCTGAAAATCAAGGAAAATTCTTAGAAGAGATAATGTTTTTAGCAAAATATCACGCTCCCTTAAAGAAATGGCTAGACAGTCGTCCCGAAAATGTTTCTTGGCTTTCGCATGATATACAGAATGAAATGATAGATCTTCTTTCTCAAAATGTCATAGAGACAATGAAAGAACAGATATTAGAAAGCAGGTATTATTCAGTGGAATGCGATGAAGTCACCAGTCATAAAAAGTCATACATGTCTATTATCGTACGTTATGTTTATCAGAATGTTATTCAAGAGAGGGTTGTAGGGCTGAAAAATGTATTGAGCTTGAAAGGAAAATCATTGGCTGACATCATCATTGAAAAGTTGGGTGTATTGCAGATTTCATTGCAAAACATGATAGGAAAGGGCTTTGACGGTGCAAGTAATATGTCCGGCACGGACAATGGGGTCCAACAACATCTCAGCGAGTCTGGGGCTACTCTTTCGTTGTACTTCCATTGTTTTGCCCACAGTCTAAATTTAGTCCTTGGGAAGACAGCAGAAACGCTACCACTGGTCAAAGATGTGTTCGACACAATTGGCTCTATTTATAGAGTCATGGAAGGTTCCCCACAACGCACAGCAGTCTTTGAAAAGTGGCTGAAAGAATTTTCCATAAATGAAGGACGCAGGGCCCTCCGATCTGTATCAGACACCCGTTGGACTGCACGGGTCGACAATCTATCAGCCACTGCAAATACATTGCAGGCTTTGATTGCAGCATTAAGAGAGTTGGAGCCGAAAGAAGCTGCGTGTGCTGGTCTCTTAACACAACTGAACTCTTTTGAATTTGTGCTCAAATTGATGATTCTGAAAGAAGTCTTTGAGATTTCTAAGTATGCATCAGAATATCTCCAAAGGGCCGACATGGATATGGTAACGGCAGTCGACGCTGTTCAGACCTTGATACGACGAATCACTTCTCTTCAAGACGAGAAGCATTTTGATGAATTGGTCTGCAAAGCCAAAGTTCATGCTTCTAAGTGTAACGTCAATAATACCTTCAACGAAGCAAGTAAACGACGCCGCAGACTACCAGAACGCCTAGGAGATGGTCAAACTTTGCTTGACGCGACATTCAGCCACAGCATTGCAACTCCTTCAGAGTCCAGTCAGTCGGTTACAGCAGTAGATAATTTTCGTCATGTCTTCTACTACCTCTTCTTGGCTTTGATGCTCAACGAGCTTGGGAAGAGGTTCTCTGTTGAGTCATGTGAGGTGATGATGCAATTATCAGCTTTCAATCAACTTCACTGGAATGCTGGTAACCAGGGAAAGTTGGCAAATTTGCGAGCCGTTATGGTATTCCTGCACAGCCGACCTGTCAAGAATACATGCTATTGAGAGAATCGCGATTCTTCACCAAGCTGCTGTTAGAAATGGACGAACGGAAAAAGAAAGGCTGGAAGAATCCGTGTTTACCATTAATTCTGAAGATGTTCCAGCAGAGTGACTTTGAGAGCCTTTATCCAAATCTACATTTGGTAATCAGAATTGCCTCGTGCATCCCCGTTTCTATAGCGTCTTGTGAGCGATGTCATAGCAAAGTGAAGCTAATTAACACTTATCTTCGGGCTACAATGACAGAAGATCGTCTGGAAAATCTTGTCCTGATAAGCAGCGAGAGGGATATTTCGAAAGAAATAGATTTATCGACCATTCGAAAGCAATTCGCTATCAAACCTAGAAAACTGGCCTTATGATCAAGTTGTGTTGAAAAAAACTACGAACCTTGTTTATTACAAGATTGTTTGACATTGTTATTCATTGTTTTAAATTCTCGTTTTGGATTAATGATACCTTTTTGTTTGGCACTTCCCAATAAACAAGTTAAAATTAAAGTCTACAGGTTGTGTTGCTCTAATAATGTATGCAGAAAGAGAAATCAAAGGATCCTAAACCATTTTGAGACCTCAGAAATGAGAAAATCCCGGAAGCTTCCGGGAGCTTCGCCCCCTGGACCCCTACCAAGGCGTTGCCCTGGACCCGTTGAGGGGCTTCTTACAGCGTCCCCAGACCCCAGCTGTTTTAGGCAACGGCCTCTGGCCATTGCATGCGTGCCTTCGGGACGCCATGTACACATAGAACAGCAAGACACGATTTTTAAAAACTTCTTGCACGCCCCTGAAACCCCCCCCTCTCTTTTTTGGAGCTGGCGCCGCCACTGGGGGCGTGCCCCAATCAGTGCCCTCGCCCCCCATGGCGCAGCTACTTGATTGCTCTATAGCCAGTTTTCGATCAATTTTTTCAGCATGTTATGCCAGAGCAACATTCTTTTCTAGGAAAAGTATACTTATAGAAATCCTCATTTTAGGAGGCTTACGTTTTTCATGGAAATCGTGAATTTCTTTCTTTTACTGCCGAATACATAATTATTTGATCATAAAGTATCTCCGATTACATTAGGCAGGAAAAGCAAAACTATTAACAAAGGATTAAGATACCCCCAAAAAAAGTAAGAAAAGACTTTAAGGAGGTACGGATTTAGCCGGGGGCTGTAGACGGAGCGACACCCCCCAATATTTCTGCTTCCTTCGGAAAATTTTGTTTCATTCGGTAAAAATCATTTGTTGGTAGTCAGTAGTAACAAAGTAACGCCAAGAATCTACTTTATTTATTTTCTTGTCAGTATTTATCTTCTTAAAAGTGGCGTAGCGAGGGGGGTAGGAAAATTCTGAAATGTATCTGAAGCTAACCTCAAAGGCGTCGTTCTTGAGACATTCCCGATCAAATAGAAACTTAAATGCTGAAATAGTCCATTCCTAAAAAACTGGATTCTGAAATGCTTGTCGTGGATTTTGCTCCAAGGAGAACGGACTTGGTTTAAAACTTTTGAATACTGTTAATGATTTTTAGATATTTCGTTACCACGTTGAAAAATCAATTTTTCAAGCAGTGCTCTCTCGCCTTGCACCATTTAGGATATAAATGTTAGTGGAATCGTGAAGACAGTCGATAATATGGTCAGCCACAAAACGCTACATATGACGCTGTATAAAGGGAAATTGCCACGTGGAAATGCCACAAAAGGGGTGTTTTTCAAAAATCATAGGGGTCTGGTCAGCAAAAATTATTCTCTTTGTCCCACCAATCTTCCAACCCTGGCTACGCCACTGCTTCTTGAATACGCCCCTGATTTTAAGGCAGTAGTGAAGGAAACATGCTTTTCTTTACAAACTTGTTACATTTCTCCGTGTTAGGCAGGTTTCAGCACGTGGCCTAGTCCCAGGTGCAAGGAAAACATGGAAGTGAAACGGACAAAACTTGTCTTCAGTTCCTTTTTTTGCAGATTATTGAATTGTTTTGTCGGTGAATTGCAGAAATTATTCAATGGAATTACTCTTTGATGGATCAAATCTTCCTAACGCATCTTGGACTTTCTGATCGATTTCTTTGCAGGTATTAGGAACGTCAATGAGGAAACAAGAGGAATATCTAACCACTCAACAGTTTATCAACCAATAGCAAAAAATGTAGAAAAAATTTAGTAAGTAGAAAACAACGTCCAACCGTATAATAATAAATTTAACAAAATGTTTAACGATCTTAGATCAAAGAAAAAATAAATTGTTAGATAAAATAAACCAAAGCTGATTGAAAAAGTAGCAATTTGTAAATCAATGATTTCCTTTTGATAATAGTCGCCTTTTAGACAGCTGGTAAGTCTGTAAAACCATTAAACGTCTTTCTCGTCTACTTTCAGGGCATCTTGTTCATCGGCATGTTCACTGTCAACGGCTACCTTGTTGGAGAGTACTCGCACAGAAGATTGAGTGCTTTTGTTTGAATAAGGCACTTCATCATAAGCACTCAGATTCGTAAATGTCTTCAGAGGATAGTCAGATAATTTTTTCGCACTTGCTGTGTCATCAAGCTGGATCCCTGTACTGACATGGTATTTCCGTTGATTTTTCTTCCACACGAGAATTCCAATAATGATAATTAAAAGCAAGCCTACCATTGATAAGCCTACAATCAGACCAACGTTGTTGCCTTCTTTTTCACATCTGTTGCCTGAGTAGCCACTGGCACACCTACAAACCCTGTAGTTTGGTCCACGCTCACATTGGCCACAATTTAAGCAGAATGAGGGACTGCAGTCGACCTCGCAGGTTGATGATGCAGACGGCTTGTAGTAGCCTTGAATACAGGCACAGTATCCGTGGGTGGCATCGCTTTTACACTCCTGCTTTGCGCCACAATTGCCAACCAGTCTACAGTGGTCTGTTGAGGCAAATTGAGACAAAAAGATTAACGTGCAAAAGAGACATACTGCTGTCCCTTGTTAATGTATCCAGTACCCCAGAAGGAACAAATACATCTTCTGTAATGAAAACCAAGCTTAAGAGAAAAAATGATTATAACAGATTTTCTCTTAATAGAATACACTTTCCGATCATAGAGAGTCGAAAGCTTTACATTATCTACAGGTATAGCTAAAAGCTTGACGCAAATTAAAGGGAGGGGAGATACAAAAGACTGGCTAGCAAATCAGGCTTAATTCTTAAACTGAAATAAAACTTGATATTAGAGGTTAAAGGAAAGGACCTTACCAACAATTTTGTATGAAGAATCAACTGACAGAGGTCCAACAGAACCGGATGCGATAGCATTACTGAGCTTGTCCAGAGGGTCGGACAATGATGTAGAGAAGACCAAATCAGCAAAGGCTATGACACTTCCATTCCTGTTGACGTCAAGGGACATTAAAAAACGCTGTTTCTTATAAGAGGCAGGCATTTTAAACGCAGCCATTTTTACATTATACTTGAAGCGACATTTTACCAACCCTTATATATTTAAGGTATTCAGGTGATACATCAACGATGCAAATTGAAACATTCAGTATCTATTGATTAAGTAAACTTTGATACTTATGAACAAAATTGCTTTCTACATCCTTATTCTAAATGACACAAACGTTTTGTATAAATCAGCAGTTAATGGGAAATTAACAACCCTACCATTTCATCAATTTTCAGCTGTAGTTTAAAGCAATACTTAAGAAGCTTCAAGTTCCTTTAAAGTAAAAGGCTAGCAGTCTTGCCAATCACGTTGCTGCTTGTCCAGCATTCACGACACAACAACGAAGGTAAAAAAACGCTTTATAACAATTCAGACAATAGATAATATTGATATGAATCTTTAAATTTACGAAGCAATATAGAAGTCGTATTGTAGTCGTATCGTAGTCGTGTTGTAGCCGTATTGTAATTTGTAGCCGTATTGTGGTCGTATGGTGGTTAGATTATGGTCTCATGGTTGTTAGATTATTGTCATATTGTGGTTATATCGCGAACAAGGAACTAACAGCAGCAGAACATACCTGAACTGGTTGATTTTGACAGACATAAAGCCTTCTTCGGCGGCATAAATTTTCTCTACCTAGAATTAAGATATCATAGGCTTATGAAGTCAATATATGGTTTCAGACATATTCGATGATACAGGCCCAATGGTATTGCTTGCTGAATACAATTCACAGGGCTTGATCATCAGGGAGACAAATACTTGAGCATCATCAAATCCTTTCAGTTGTGATACATTGGTCATCGCACATTATGACTGCATTTAAGTTCAAAGTTTATGATGCATTTTCGTTTCATTTTGCATTTTTTGGAAAGATTCCTCTGCTTTTAGAAGGGTTTCACAGGTCTAGTCAGATGGAGAGATCAGTTGTTTCGTGTGTAATTTGAAAAAGATAATACAGGATGGTCGTGTTTAAAGGAGCTCTGATGTTTTTGGCTTGCGCACTTTTTCTTTATCGTTTTTCGGCCACATATTCGTTCCTGGATAGTGATTATAATGCTTGTTGTTCTTATGCTATCGTCGATTCACTGGGTAAAGGGAAAAAGCAATGGGTCAAATTTAAAGCATCCAAATCGTGCCGTAAGATTTTGGTGAAGTATCGGTGCAAATCTGTGCCTTCTCCCGCTTCTTTCTTGGTTTGGTGCTTGATTTTATCTGGTGATGTTGAACTCAACCCTGGTCCCACAACGAATAGCAGCAGCTCGTCCAAGTCAACCGATGCTTCGATTACTATGCCTGTATCAATTGATACCTCTAAAAAGGGTCTTCATCATCCAATTTCGCATCTGAGCTTTCTGCCATTCATGAAGTTCTACAATGCTTAAAGGTGGGCCAAGAATCAATTCTCCATAATCAAAAGGCCATAATTTCTCGTGTCGATCTGGTTGAAAAGGAAATAAGAAAAGTTCAAAATTCTGTCGGGGAACTGGAATCAAGGCAAGTCAATTTTGAGAAAGACCTTGATTGTTTGAATTCTCATGTAAATGAAACAAATTCCCGTGTAAAGGATGCTGCTTTCGAACCTGATCGCCTGGAACAATATTCAAGAAAAAGCTCGGTGAGGATTCACAATGTTATCGAATCTGACGGGGAAAGTGTCGAAGAGGTTGTCATCTCTCATTTAAAGACGGAGCTAAATGTGGAGATTACGGCTTCTGAAATTGATATCGTCCACCGTGTAGGACGACGCTTTGGAAAGTACCCACGTGCAATTTTGGTAAAGTTTCTTTCACACAAGTCGAAGGAACATATTATGAAAAAGAAAAAGGAAGCCAAGAGCATTAAAATAACAGAGGACCTCGCCCGTGGCATAAAAAGTATGCTTAATGAAATAAACGCTAATCGTAACCCCTTAACATTGAGCGCGTATGGACTATTGACGGTCGTATAAAATATAAGCATTTCAACGACTCGTTCATTCACGAGGTACGTTCATACAACGATTTTTTCCGTTTTACATACACAATCAAATAGTTATCGTGCATTTCGTAATCTATATTCTATGCCAAAAAAGGTCAGTCACTCTGTTCCTAGCACATTACGGCTTTGCGCTTGGAATATCAACGGTTTAAAAAAGTTAAAAGTAGCCGAGGCATTTGGTGATCGTGACAATGATCTTTCTCAAGCTCTGGAAAATAATGATATTGTTTGTCTATCTGAAACATGGCGAGATCAAGGTGATCCCGAATTTCGTGATCTTAACGAAAGCTTTTCTGTCTTCCATCAGTTGGGGTGCAGAACTTCTCGCTATGGGAGGTCTTCTGGCGGGATGTCTCTTTTCGTTCGTAACTCTCTGGCATCATGGTGCCATATTTTACAATCGGATGCATATCATTTTTGGTGTCGATTTGATAAAATTGCCTTTGGCCTTGCCGATGATCTCTTTGTTTGCTTTGTTTATATTCCACCGAGTGACTCAATTTGGTTTAAATCTGGCAGAAGCCTAAATTTTGATATCTTACAAGACGAATGTGCTAATTATGACGCAAAAGGATCTATTTTAATTCTTGGTGATTTCAATGGTAGAACTGGGACATTGCCAGATTTTATCGTAAATGATTCAGTAGACGATTTTCTACCGGTCGCTAATGATTACTCGCCAGACACTGCTCTAATTACTAGGCAATCTAGTGATAATACAATTAATCATAGCGGTCGATTGCTAATTGAATTCTGTAAAACTGCAGGCCTTCGGATCCTTAATGGCCGTACTGATAAAAACGGCTCATCACATTTTTCTTGTTTCACGTCCAATGGTAACAGCACAGTAGATTACGCTCTTGCAAATCAGAAAACATTTGGTCTGATTAGTGGCGTTAAAGTTAGGAACATGAGTAGCTTGTCCGGTCATTCTCCTATTGAGATCTCAATTAAGCGAAGTGTTAATTGTAATAATTCAACAGTTAGCTCTAGCAAGCCCGACAATGTATCTTCCTCGGCGGTTGATGTTCTTATGAGCAATTACACAAAACAATACATCCCCAGTGTTGATTCCCATCAGAAAATTAAACTTTTTATCGAAAATGATAATACCCTGACTTTTCTGGAAAATTTGGAAACTGATCTTGATGACAAGTCCATTCCTGTTGGTCATACTGTTGCATTAATGCGCAAACATTTAACTCAAATTGCGGAAGGTTGTCTTAGAACTAAGAAAATTTTTTCTAGTAACGTACCGAAGAAAAAACATTTTGTTTGGTTTGATAACGAGTGTAAGTCCAGCAAAAAACTGCTAAGTACTTCACGTAAGGCCTTACAAGCAGCCCTGAGACTCAATAAACCTGACCCAATACGTTCTAATACTTTACATGAGGTTTACAAATTAGAGAAAAAGAGACACAAAGCTCTTTTGAAAAGAAAACGCGCTTCCTACCTTACAAATGCGAAAGAAGAGCTTTGGCTGCTTAAAAATGAATGTCCAAAGCAGTTTTGGAAAATCTTTCAATGTCATCTTCCAGTAAATCGTCAATAGATTTTTCAAATGAGCAAATCTATGCCTTTTTTAATGATCTTCTTAGTAAAAATACTCCTGTTTCTCCCCCTAAAAACCCAAGTCACTTTGCGGCTGCTAATGATTCCGGTAACGACTTATTCACTCTTATAGATTCAAAACTAAATGAACAAATTGATTTATTGGATGTGAAGAATATGGTTGAAAAACTCAAATCTGGCAAAGCACCTGGTCTTGATTTGTTGAATGCTGAACTTTTCAAACATTTAAATGACCGTTATTTTACTCTCTTTGTTAAACTTTTTAATAAAATTCTAGATTCTGGTGACTTCCCAGAAGAATGGTCTGTAGGTGTCATTGTTTTGCTTTTTAAAGGTGGTGACACAAAATATCTTGACAACTATAGAGGGATTACCTTGCTTAGCATTTTCGGAAAGCTTTTCTTGGGTATTCTTCTAAACCGCCTGAATCAGAAAGTGGAAGAGTTTAACATTCTCAAGGAGAATCAAATTGCTTATAGAAAATCATATCGAACCTCCGATCACATTTTTACGCTTCATGCTTTAATTGAGAACACATTTGCTAGTAAGAAAACTCTTTATTTATGCTTTGTGGATTTTAAGAAAGCTTTTGATTCCGTTGACTACAAAATTCTTATTGATACACTGTTGTCTTATGGTATTAATGGTAAAGTGTTAGATGTCATTAAGTCCCTGTATGCAAAAGTTAAGTCCTGTGTAAGGGGCCAAGACAGCCTAACTAATCTATTTTCCTGCCATCGTGTTGTTAGGCAAGGTTGTTTGTTAAGTCCGTTGCTGTTCACTTTGTTTCTTAATGACTTAGACTCAAAGATTAATGCTGTGTCTACCGGTGTCAGTTGGGTGATGGAGATATCTGCACCCTTTTATATGCTGATGACTTAGTTTTATTAGCTAATTCTTCTGATGATCTGCAATCCCAGTTGAACGAGCTAAACCAGTTCTGCTTGTCCATTAATATGGAGATAAATACTTCCAAAACCAAGATAATGGTTATAAGAAAAAACAAGAAAAGATCTAAGGCATGCAAAATTTGGAAATTTGGTGATAAAGAGATCAAAGAATGCAATGAGTACAAATACCTTGGAGTTACTTTTAAATCTAATGGTTCCTACAGTGCTCATGTTGATATAATTAAGCAAAAAGCTCAAAAATCTTACTTTGCTCTCTTATCCAAAAGCAACGAATGGGATGGTTTCAACCCAGGACTGTTTCTATTTTTATTTGACAGTAAAATACTTCCTATTCTAAATTATGCCACTGACGTATGGGGATTTGGTACATGGGAATGCCTGGAAAAAATTCATCTTATGGCTTGCAAGTCAACCCTAGGTGTTAAAGGATCTACAACGTCTCTTGGGGTTTATGCGGAGTTGGGACGTTGTTCGTTGCTTGAACATAGACACATTAATATCTTAAAATTTTATATTCGTTTAATAAATCTTGATTCCTCCAGATATGCATACAGAGCTCTTCAAATGTTAGTTAATGATGCAGATTCCGGTGTTTCTAATTGGGTCAGTATTGCCCGTTCCCTGATGACCCTTTACAGAATACATACAACCGATTACTC